CTCCCAGCATGAGAGAAAAGGAAGGAAAGGTTTCTTAGAAAAATAATAAAGATACCTGAGATTTATCAGTTCTGTTTTGATCTTAGAATATCATATCTCTACACAAATATTAATTAAAGCCCAGCATCTGTAAGTAAATATTAATCTATACTTCCTTTATAGTTAGGAGGGGCAGAGAGAGAATCAGGTCTCATACAAAGTCACATACCAAGACAGTAGTTCTGACTCCCATCCCTTCCTAGAAGCTAAACAGTAGGAAATAAGTCTCCATTGCACCAGTATTTCTCAGCGTGGATTTCAATAGTAAACACTTACGCAGTCAACATTTTTATTTTATTGTCTTATTGGGGGAGGTACCAAACAAGCCCCCTTGTTCATGTTCTGTTCAATCCACTGTTAGAACAATTGGCCACAAAGATCAAGATTATCTCTTGCTTGGTACCAAATCAAGATCTCCTGGACTGTCAGTGGAACTCCTTAAGAATACTCCCATACAATCTTCTCTTGAAAAACTCCTGAGCTGCATCCCCACAAGAAGGGGTGTGTGTTTGCCATGGGAAAAAAGCAGTGACATAAATTTGTGTTGCTGCTTTTGCCCCTGTACATGCCCTTACCTGGGGTCCTGGGGGCCTCCAGGCATGCAGAGCTTGGCCAGCAGTCAGAGTGTGGCTCTGGCTGGCCAGGCTCTGGTTTTAGGTGGTGCATGCTGCTGCCATGTGTGCCATCCTGCTTTTTTCTGGCCCGATCTCCTGGTGTCATAAAAACCCACCGCACTGCAAATTAGCAGTGCGATGAAAGTCTGCACGTGGTGCATGCAGTTTGCAGTGCCACAGACAGGACTGCAGCACCACAAACCACACGTGTGCTTGTCTGGATGCAACCCCGGGTAGCAAAACAACATTGAAAACCCTAGACACAAGGGGTTCTCTTTAGACTTCCATTTAATTTCTGCAACTCTATTTTAAATGATCAAATAATTAACAGTATATAAAACTGGTTACCAATTTTATCAACTAAATCTGCTTTCACACTATTTTAATTCTCAGATTAATCTCTAAAGATCTTCAATATTACAAATCTAGTTGAGTCACACTTACAGTCTGCTTAGAGATCTTGAAAATAAATATTGTTCCTTGTCTCTTATACCGTATGAGTATAATTCCATTTAAGAAAATATCAGTGTAAAACTCCAGATGCATCTGAGCCAATAAACACCAAAGGCTCGAAAATAAAATTCTAAAAAAAAGTTGTAAAATAAAAGTTTGTCTATCAGAAAACAATGACTTAACAAGATTAAAACAGTTCATAGGACAGTATTAGCTAAGGCAAATATAAAGTATAAGAGGAGAGCTTCCCATCCCCTGTTGAAACTCTTGGAGTGTAACACAAGAATTAAATTACAATAAAACAAGCATAAAGCTGCAACAGAGTAGACAGTTACGAAATATACAGACACTCATGAAAGGAATCAACAATTGGTTGCTTTAAAAATGTTGAAAAAGAATTATAACCAACCCATGGGGTAAGGGTGGTCTTTCATATATTACAGAATCACATGTTTGGAAGGGACCTCAAGGGTTACTAGGTCCAACTCCCTGCAGAAATGCTATCCATAAGAGCTTATCCAACCTCCTCTTGGAAATCTCCAGTGAAGGAGATTCTACAGCTTCCCTGGAAAGTCTTTTCCACTGCCTTACTCATCTAACAACAAGGACATTTTTCCTCAGATGTAATCTTCATTTCTTTGCTGCAATTTAAAACCATTTCTTCATGTCCTCTCCCTATTCTTTAGTCTTTCAAATAATTGAAAACTGCTATCATGCTTAATCTCCTTTTCTCCAAGCTAGACATATCTACCACTCCCAGCCTTTCCTTATAGGGCTTGCTTTCCAACCCCCTTATCATTTTTGTCACTTGCCTCTGGATTCTCTCCAGCTTCTCCAGATCTTTCTTAAAATGGAAAGCCTAGAACTGCACGCACAATCCTCCAGCTGTGGCCTAACAAGTGCTGAGTAGATTGGTATTATCACTTCCTGCGCCTTACACCTAATACTCTTCTTGATGCAGCCCAAATTATGTTAGCTTTTTTGCAACTGATGACTCATTTTGAGTCTTGTGATCCGCTAGAACCCCAGTTTCTTCTTAGCCATGCTACTGCCCAGCCAGTTATCTCCCGTTCTGTACTCGTGCCTTTGGTTAATCTTCCTTCTGTTCTTTCACCCAGCTCTTCAATCTATCAAGATCTTTTCTAATTCTGATGACTGAATTACATCACAAAGCATGGGGATTAATAAGTCTTGCAATTTTTAGTGCATTTCATCTCAATACAGTTGTTATTTTTACTTATTATTCTCTTAATAAATGCCTTTTTTTCCCTTTGAGCTTTGGAATATTATTTTGATAGAACATCAATTTTCATGCCAAATAATGAGAAATCCTCCTTCCTTCTCAATAAATTTCTGAGTTTATAATGTTTACTTTTCCTCCTCTGTTTCACTGTCTCTATTAATCATTTAGCATTGCAGGGCATCAAAATCTAAGATACACCAGATCACCATAACCCTACAGACCTTTGTTGTCACAAAGCAACAAAACTCACAGCAATGAGCAAGTTAAAAACCTCTCTGATGCCTAGCTGGTTCCTCACTGGCTGGATAAATGTCAGGAAAATGTCTTTAAGAGGGCTTGCCTGACCCCAGGAAAAAGTGCTTCCAGTCTGACTAGTTCTAAATGTGAAAATAAAATTTAAAAACGCATCCATTTGTCCTGGATGACAGGTGCTTTTCTAAGAGAATACCTTAAATAAATGGGTCTTCTATAAATATTGTAAATGTTCATCATAGGTAAATTCAACTCTTTCACACAAAGGGATTCCCAATAAATGGTGAGCCTGTAAACTGCAAATAGTTTTTAGGGCTTTGTATGCTTCTTCAGTGTACGCAGTGTAACATGGTGCAGACTGACGGTTACCTATGTTTCTATCTGACAATCCAGCGCACAACTAATCTGAATACTAGGACAGCATCTGTAATTAGGGACCTAATCAAATCCCAATTTCATGGATTTCACAGAAATTGTGAAATCAGGAGATTTCTGCAAAATCCGTGGGAGGAAATAAAAAGCTTGCTAAAAATAAAATGCTGGCTTCCCAGTGGGAGCCAGCAGTCCTCACGGTCACTGTGGCCGGGCCATACAGCCCACTGGGGGAAAAGGGGAGCTGGCAAGATGACTGCCGCCCCACCCCTGGTTGGCTGATGGCTCCCTGTCATGTGACCCCACCCCTATCTACCAATCAGCAATGAGGGGTTGGGGCTATATGAAGGACAGCCCTCTCCACCAATCAGTGGCAGGGGGCAGGGCCACCAGGGTCTTTTGGCCAATCAGAGTCATGGTGGGAAGGGGCCAAAGCAATCCGCCTGTGCATATGGTAGCCAGCACCACAATTTTCCCGCAAAATCAACCAGCCACCTTCTCGAGTTTAGTAGACCCCTATCTATAATGCACAGATTATTACAATGAAACACAGCACATGTCATTGTGGGAATCTTGATTATACAGTTCTGTTTATTGCTGATACATACACTAGAGGACATGAACCAACTACTCTTGAAGTAGGAGGTTGCTCCATCTCCTTACTCACAATGCTAGCAGAAGATCAGGAACTCATGGCACAGAGTTTTACTACACTGAAGTTTTCTACAGCACTTTAAGATCAGAATTCCCAGAGCCAGGTTTCTTCATTAGTTGGATTAGAGATGCTGGCACCAGGGAAGCTGAATCACAGGCAACAGCAGCAGCAGGAGAGACCCAGCCACTTATTTCTTGTTACAAGTATAGCTTAAGAAAAAGAAAGCAGAAAGAGGACACGGCAGAGAGAGAAATGCAGCACAGAAGGCAGCCATAAGAACAGCAGCAGTAGCTAAAGATAGGGGAAGAAGTAAAATTCAGAACCAGAGAACTATACGTTTAATTTAAGTTTCTCTCACAGCACAACAGCAGAGAGATCAGAGGATTTATTGTCATTCAATTGTCCATTCAGTAACTGCAGTCAACACAGTGGGATGTAAAGCTCCTCGCACTGAGATAAGAACATATTTCTGCCTTTTAGATGAAAGGCAACTTACATCAGGATGAGGAAAAATGTGTTTACAGAGACAAAGGAAAGGATATTTCATTGTTATAGTAATATTTATACATCAGGTATATATAAGCTTCTTTAAGCATTAAATATAAATACTTACTGCACACCTACACATAATAAATATGAATTTATAAATGAACAATTTGGCAAAAACCAAAAACTTGTTCCTCTGTGCTTTGAAGATAAAGATGACTAGAATCTTAAAACTGACCTAGCCTTTGCTTACCAGATCGCAGGATATTTATGTTATATTCTCTGAAATCCTCACATTACATTGTGTTACTATTAATGTCCTTTATGTGAAAATAGCAAATTCTCCACTGGATACAGGAATTATCTGATAGACCATGTTTAGTTTATCAGTTGAGTAAAAATGAGGAGAATAATATATTTGAGTGGAGATATACCAGCAGAATCACAAAACACTGTCCTTCCTTCGGTACACAGCCATGGACAGGCCTTCACCATGTGCTGATGTTTCTTTAGTTTGTAACCTACAATGTAAGTGTGCCCAATCAATGACCATAGTCACTGCTGGCATTGGGGGAATATACAGAAAACCCATGAAACACCTGAGAAACGGGTGAAGAGGTTCCAATGAAGCGAATCAGTGGTAAAGAGGAATAGGCTGACATTACAAAGTAAATTGAATTCATATCAGTTTAAAGACATCAGTGGCAGGCTTCAGGCTTGACAAAATTTGCCTCATAATGATAAAGGGTGATGATAAAATTAAAAGACCCAAAGTGGACCGGTTTCAACAGTTATCTGTCATCTATATTCTGATGGGAATTAAGTAGCTACAAATTTCAGTTAATACGGGGAACCAAACAATACAGAAATGAACCCTTAAGCTTACCTGTGCAAAATCAGCAGCGAGTCGCATCTTCCCACCTTCACCAAGGGGTCTTATTAGGCTGGCATTACGAATAAAAAGTTCAATTGCTCTCTGAGCAATGGCTTCAGTGTTATCAAAAACAAAGTCGAAACACTCAAAGTGTCTGAAGTAGTCGCTCATGATTCTTGCAATGAAGCCCTGTAATTCTTTCATGTACAGAGAACAAGGGACATCTGGTTTTCCTGAGCTGGATAATGATCTACCAAAAATGTAAAAAAGCAGCTAAATTCATCCTTATAACACAACTAAAAAATATTTATTTCTTTTTAATTTTCTTTTTATCCCATGAAGTAATTTTCTCTTGCTGGTATGAATTACTGCATCTTATTTCTGCCTGTACGTAGCTCCCTCTGGAACTGCAGTCTAACATCTTTCTTGATCAACCATTGCCATTATGACAAGCTACAGGAAATCACCCCCTCCTATCCGATTTGCACAGCCTCCATCAGCTCAGAGGCTAGAGCTCTAAATCCAGCTCCTAAGCTTAAATGTCCCAACTGTTGGTATAATACTTTAATGTTAGGTGAAATAATAGTAGGTACACGTCTCAGAGTAACTAGCTCAGTTTGTCTCATACCCACTCTCTCTTAGGCCTAGTTTGTTCTGCCAGCAAAACTCTGACTGTGAGCATACTCACAGCTTGTCTACTGTGACAAAGCCTTTCTTCCTCCCAGAAGAGTCGTACCACATCTGACAAACAGAAAAAGGCTTCTGCTTCTGTCTATCGGCTGACAGAAGGTGTATGCAGATACTTTCACACCTGCTGGCTACTGTGTTCCCTTCAATAACTAGAAGTGCTCTGATGGCTTGGCTGTGGCAGTTGCTGTCTGCTAGTAAAATTTTTGATAGCAGAAAGGTGTAAATACAGACAAGACATTAAAATGCCCACATCCGACACCCAAGATTGTTGACACTTTCTTCTAATCAGGGCAAAAACAGAGTCTGAGCTATAGGACACAGTGATCAGTGATCTCTCTCTTTGAATCACAGTCAGGCTCTAGAGTGCTCTAAGATGTGAGTGGGAAGAGAGGGCACATATCATCTTGCAGGATTTAAAAAGTCCATGGTTTGTATCAACTGATCAAACCATAGAGTACTTATTTGTGTTAAGAAGAGGGAAGACTGAAGCTGGTAAAATACTGTCATTGACAAGTGGAAAATCAAAATGAAAAACATCTACAAAAATGTAGTCAGTGTGGTAGAAGTGATATCTTTTATTAGACCAACTAGATAGTTGCAAAAAAATTCTTTATTTGCAAGCTTTTGGACTCACGTGCCCTTCCTCAGGCAAAGGAGAATGCAAAGATTGCAAAATTACTCCCAAGTAGAAAAGAAATTTCATATTGCACAGGAAACTTAGAGGGTGGTATTAGTTCTCCTGGGTGGAAAAGTTAATTTTATGCAAATTAAAGGAAGGGCACGTGAGCCGAAAAGCTTGCAAATAAAGAAAAAAAAATTGCAACTATCTAGTTGTTTTAATAAAAGATATCACCTCTACCACCACACTGACTGTTTTTGCCTTCAGATCAGTACAGCTAAAACCTTTACCCCTGAAATATGGAAGATATCATAATTAGCTGTTTTTAAACTAAAACATCACAATTTTACAAGAAGCAAAATCCCTGTGACCTGGAAGCAAACACCCCTGCTCCAGCCTTTTTTTTCAACCCAGAAGTGCATATTTGCAGAGCAACCTCAACACAACAGAACTTCTTTACCCAAAAGAACCATTCCATCACCAGTTCTCCTATGCAATATGAAAACATCTCAACTAGAAAGAAGCAAAATACAACATCCTGCTTACCAGCAGACACCTTAAGAGGTAAATAGACTGCCCCAAACTTTTGTCCAAGCCTAATTTGCATAAAATTATTTTTGCCACCAAGAAGAACTTGTACCATTCTCCAGTTCTCCTGAGCAATATGAAGTTTGAATTCTACCTGGGATAAATTTTCCCTGGGATAATCTTTGCATTCTCCTTCGCCTGAGGAAGGCTGTGAGCCTGAAAGCTTGCAAATAAAGAATTTTTTTTGCAACTATCTAGTTGGTCTATAAAATTGTACTTTTTTGAATGGCTGCCTTAGAAATAGAGAATGCATGAGATGTTGGGGTGACAGTGAACACCACAAGGGAGAGGTCACCGTGACTAATGCTCTCACTGCCTGATAAATGGAGTCAACACAAAAATACTGGCACCAGGTCAAGGTTTATGGAAGCATTCTCCACAAATGCTTGGAACCTGTGGCCATTGCAAACCAAGTATTTGGGTTTTAAAACCAATTGCCACCATGGAACAGAACTTATCAAAAATGCTAGACTCAGTTTAGGGAATATTTTCAAGCTATTTTCATTTCAAAGGGTTCAAAACTGATTCTTTTTATTTTCCAAATAATTCACATTTTTTCATGAAATTTTTCATTTAAAATATTACAGAAATGGTTATCCAAAACAGCTATCCACACTTCTTATTTATCAAAACCTTGAGTTTTAGTAAACAATACATTTCATTTAGTTCTCAATAATGGTTTGGACAATACCTTTTGATAAAAAAGTTGACTTTTTTTTTTTTTTTAATAAAAAAACCTCTTTCTTGAAAAAACAAAAAGCAATGATATTGTTGAAAATGTCTCACAAAAAAGTTGTTTTCTAAAAAGTCCTTTTCCCCACCCAGAGAAGTTTTCATTTGAAATGGTCTGCTGACCAGTTTTACTTTACAGGCAGTCAAAATAAAGGCAGGTGTAATCTGATTATGACTGTTTGGATCAATGGCTAGGCTTCCTTCTGCTTTTTGTGTTAAATGACAATCAAACACACAAACCCTCAGGCAAAAGTTCCTGTTGCAGAGTCATTGCAGCAATTAAAGGATGTTAAGCATGTACAATAAACAAGGACAATGATAAACTATGAAAGTAGTGACTGATTACCCAGAAAAATCTTCCTGATGCATAGTGATGATAATAGCTTCTACTGAGTCTCCGACTGAATTCAATAAGGGTTGCACAGCACTACCCATCAGATCATGGACTGCCTGAGAGAGTGAAATCAAGACAGGAAGAAATCAGCAAAAAAAAAAACAACCCAGAAAACCTTCTAACACCTGAAATATATCTTGATTAAGGATAAATTAATTGTTACAGATATTTGCTCTCTTCATTTTAACAGTGTTCCTTTATCCCATATTAGACACTACTTAAAAGAAAGGAAAATGTAATGTTAGCTTCTGTTTATCTTTATTCAGCCATTTAACTACGGCAGGGAAAATGTGGCTTCTTTACCACTACTAATACTACTGAAGTAAAGCTTTTATTTGAGGGGGTGTGTTGCACTTTGGTACTCCTTGCATACAAAACATACTTTTGGTGCATGCACTTCAGTGCATATATTGTGGCCAAGGGGAGGTCCATATAGTCAGAAAAGGTACCAGATAACAACAAAGTAGAAGTTGGCTCCCATTTTAAGTATGGCAAAACAAAAAATTTCAGCTTTAACTTAAAAGCATGTTGATATTCAATTACCTTTAAGGCTGCAGCGATAGTTTGCTCAGCAACTGCTGGAAATGAACTCTGGTTGGAAATCACCTAAAATGTAAAATAATTTTAACATAGTTAAAATTCAGTGACAGATTAGGTAGTACATTTTGTTTGGCTTGAACTCATATTTGATTATTCCCATTAATTACAGAGAAATGGGCCACAGCTATGAATCATAAACAAATGCTGTAGACGAAATCTTCAAAGCTAGGTATTCCACAAGATCAATCCAGTGTCTGAAAAAGCACCCATGGCTTTTAAAAAATATTTAGAAATTCTTCAGAAAATGCTGATCTGGTAAATCACAGACAAAATATTATTCATTTGGTAAAAACATTTGCATTCTAAGAAGAAATAACTGAGATGCAGCATCTACTTCTCAAAGGCAATCAGAAGATCCAAATGCCAGATATTCACAATGACCTCTACAGCATTAGAAACAACAAAACTTAAGATCAACTGAGTCTAAAATGAAGCTTCTCTAGTGTTCGAGATAAATGATAATTGATATTGTACAGAGGGCACCATTTAAAATACACTTGCATTTATTTTCTGTTGCTGCTTTCTTAAGCTTTCCATGCAGTTAGGGTCTGACTTACTCCCACTGAAGGCAAAAGAATGACACCCACTAAGCTCAACAGGAACTCAATGGGCCGTTAATTATTTCCAAATCGAAACTATACATTTTGAAATGTTGGATTTCTAGGATTTCTGGCTTGAAGTAATAGCAATACAATGTGATAGAAGTTAAGTGGTCTATTCTCCTACTGAACTGCGTGGGATTTATGGAGAGCTGTACAACTGTTATAAGTATATGTATCTGTAGAGTACTTACATTCCTTATAAGTAAAGTGTTTGTTGAAATCACTGCTCACATTCCAGCTACAAGCACATTAGGATTAGAATCAAAGAAAGCTGGAAACATCCTATCAGTGTTCTTACAATTATCAACATATTTATATTTTTTAAATATTTTTATCTTTAATTTTAAAATACTCTCATATTAATTATTAAATAACATTTAACACTGAATCATATCAGACCCCACATCAACATCAGAAAACAGTAGGTTCATTACTGAAATGCCAGAGAGCAGATTTAAAATTAGACATACCACCTGTTTGCAAAATTCACACAGATTTTATCTGATTTTCATGCTTTCTGGAACATTTTAAAGCCAGTATCTCCAGTATGGTATTTATGAGCCTGTCTTCATTCAAACCAGGGTTTAATCAAAATTAGTATACAAAAGTGATAGTAGTTTGTCATGGTTTATGCTGACTGTGTAACCATTATTGGCACAGTTTCAGTAAACTTAATTGTTACAAAAATATGTACAGCCATGTTGAAATTTCACTGTAGAACAGACCTCAGTCAGAGGAGCAATCTCCTATGGGAAATTCAAGAGGCAACGCTTTTATTTATTTTATCCTTCCTAGGGCTGTTTTCAACTGAAGGTGAAGTCCAGGCCACTAACATAGAGAGAGAGGAGAGGTGGGGAGATCCTCTCAGAAAGGTTAATTCAAAGTGGATGGGGGGTAGAGAAGGGCTACTAGGATGATCAGGAGAATGCAGAGGTTATCCATTGGAGAAGACTAAACCAGTTTGGTTGAACCAAGCACAATAAAGGCTGAAAATGGATATAATCACTGTTACAACCAACAGCTAAACACCAGGAAACATAAATGCCTTATGCCTGCCAAAGCTGGAGGGGCATGGTAACCACCCACAAGGGGGGTGGCAGTGGGGCGTGGTGGCAGTAAGCAGGGACCGCCCACAGACAGCCATGGTGATGTCAGTGGCAAGGGCATGACAAGCGAGGACCACCCGCAGGTAGCTGCAGGAGTGTCGGCTGCAAGGTGGGGAGGCGTGGCGAGCACCGACTGGCAATCAGTGACTGCCTGCAGATGCCATTGACAGCATTGGTGTGTGGCGGGGAGGTAGGGTGGCGAGCAACGACTGCCCATAGGCAGCTTCGGCAGTGTCGGTAGCAAGGGGGGAGGGTGGCAAGCATTGAGTGGTGATTGGTGACCGCCTGCAGATGTCACTGGCAGTGTCCAATCTCAGGGGATGCACTTGAACCTGCATGCACCCTCTATGCGTGGCTAATGCCGGAAAAGGAGAAGAGCTATTTAAGCTAAAGGACAATGTCGGCACAAAAGAAATAGGAATAAATTCACCAAGGATAAATTTACACTGGAAATTAGAAGGAAGTCTCTAATCGTAAGGAGAAAGGTTCTGGAACAGCCTCCCAGTAGAAGTATAGAAGGCAAAAAACTGAGTCTAAGCTGGAGCTTGATAAATGTACTAAAGTGATTATATGACATGGTTACCATTGTAGCAGGAGACTGGATTGGATGATCCAAGTTCTCTTCTGGTCCTGTGTTCCTCAGCTCCCCATACAGAGGGCTGCGGGTATGTTGAAAAGTTCTCAGCATTTTTCACTCATCTGTTACAATCTATAACTTATAGTGTGATGGCATTTAGTTTCCTAATAGGTTTAGAGCCACCTTGCAGGCAAGGGACAGACATTCAAAAAGCCTGAGTAAGAATTGATTCAATCTCTGAAGATTAGTCTAACCTGGCTAGGCTGAACTGGTTTGCAACCATCCAGACATTCCCTCTGGACTGAAGACATGCCGGTTCATGCCTGCAGTGGCTCAGGCCAGAAGCAGGGTGAAGCTAGAGCAGCCTTCCCTTCCCTTTTCTCTATGCTAAGCAAAGGGGGGGTCAGGCCACAACAAAATGCTCTGATTAGGGAGGCGTCCCCCCAACCTGCCCCCCCCCGCTGCTCCTGACCAGACCAGAAACAAGCTGACAACAGCATTTAGCACCACATCAAAAAAACAAAAGCCTTTCTCATTAGTTCAAGCTCTTTTTAAACAGCTTTTTCCAAGGAAGGAATGGAGGGACATTACCAGCTGTTGATTAGCTCCAAAAAGCCCTAAGTGGATACTGTCCTGTCTGTCTTGCACAGACACCTCTCAGCATTAGCAGCATACCACATGCTAGCTATGGTCTATGCTATGGGAGAGGGAAGGGGGGAATCCCTGCTTGAGCAGGGAGTGGAGGAGGGAGGTAGGGGGAAGCCAGGCACCTCCTGTATGGGTAAGATAAACACCAGGTTAGTTAGTGCCCACCCTGTTGGCAAAGGGCAAACACTGCTATTCCTTCTGCTGAGATGGGCCCCTGAGCAGGCCTGAACCTTGGTGAAAGGAGTAGGGCTCTGCCTGCTTCAACGGCAAGTTCTGGTGCAAGGAATGAGTCCATGGAGGTTTCCCTCTGCGACGGGTCCCAGGTGGGCTCCATGTCACAGGAGTCTGCACCTGGACTCTGTGCTGAATCTCAGCTTCGTAACA